CAACTCTCGGGAACCAAAATAAATGTGCTGGCAATAACATTAATTGAAGATCCTCAAATAATTGCCAAATAGAGATAACAAGGTGTAGGGCTGGATAAACACAGCAGGCCAAGCAGCATCAGAGGAGCAGGAAAGCTGACGTTTCGGGCCTAGACCCTTCTTCAGAGACCTGGATATACCTGAGGATAGAACAGTAAATGGAGCATGTAAAAGAGGCAGTACCTTAGTGAAGAATATGACAATATTGTACGAACCTCCGAACATTCAGTTATCTCAGGAAAAGATGACAGATGATGTTCCTAGTACTCCTAAAACACCAGAAGTTAAGGCCAACAAGAAAAATAAATACATTCCTGAAGTGTGGCAACAGTCACACAGGAATCCTCTGAAACATCTAACCTACTGTTTGTTATATATATGATTATAAACAATGTTATTTTCGTTGTAGGAACCTCTGATATAAAGGGGGAGGGATATTGTGTATTTGTTTAAGTATGGTGGACTGTCACTTTAAGAGTCTGGTAACATGACACCATGATGATGTCATCAGCCTCTTTGGGGATCCAAACAGCTCTGTCTAACCTTGCTGCCTGTGTGTGAACATCTTCATAATAAAGCTCCTATGGTTTTATGCCTGAGCCTCCCAGTCCTTCTTGGATCTTGCCCCTGACCTAGGGCCCTACTTAAGAAATACCTCAATTTTAAATTCTCATCCTTGTTTTCAAATTTTTCCATGGCCTTACATCTCCCTATCTGTGTAATGCCTTCCCATCTAAAAACTCACCAAGATATCAGTGCCTAAATCTGGCCTCTTAGCTTCTGTGATTTTAATTGCTCCACCAATGCTGTATGTGCCTTCAGTTGCATAGGTCCTAAGCTCTGGAATTTTAACTGTAAATCACCTTGTTCTTCTAACTCTCTTTCTTCTCTTATGACTTTAAAACTTCCCTCTTTGACTATGCTTTTGGACAAGTGCCTGAATATGTGATTTGATGTCAGCTTTTTGCTTGAAAATACTCTAGTGAAGCACCTTGAGGCATTTTCATACGTTAAAGGCATTACATAAATAAATCTTGTTTTTGTGTGCCATCTTGTCTTGTATGAGAAGAAAGTGTATCAGTGAGTGTTGTGTTACTCGTTTGGGCAGTCTCACTACCGTGATTGAATAGCATCAGATTGTCCAAACTATGGATTACACTTGTGATGGCAGTGCTACTTGTGTGAGGTTGCATGCCGCATATTAATATGCATCCTGATTGATAAAAATTTGTTGACAGATAAGAATTGGAGCTGTATCGTTTTGAACAGCCTATGAGACTAATGGTAAATTGGCAGAAGATGATACTCGAAGGTACATTCACTGACCATTCATGAAGGGTCACTGAACATATTACAGCACTGTATCCAGATCTGCAGGGCTTGAGTCCTGAAACTGATCTTCATGGTCATCTTTTCCACGTTCTTCTGACTGTGTGTTTTGGGGATCTCCTAGCCTCCTAGAAGGTACAGTGTGACATCCCCTCCAGTAATGGCATGGAAAGCCTTATATCAAAATTTGCTGATAATGCAAAGTTAGGTGGCATTGTGGATTGTTTAGATGTTTACATAAAATTACAAAGGGTTATTGATAGACTAAGTGAATGGGAAAACTGTGGGAGGTAGATTTCAGTGTCAGCAAGTGTCAAGTTATCCATTTTGAAAAGACAAAGGATAGATCAAGGTACTTTGTAGGTGGTATGAAGTTACAAACAGTGGATGTCCAAAGAGACTTGGGTGTTCGGGTGTATAGATCTTTAAAATGCAACAAGTAGGTGCAGAAAATAATCAAGAAGGCTAATGGAATATTGACCTTTACATTTAGAGGACTGGAGGAGAAGAATGTAGAAGTTATGTTTCAGCTATACAAAATTCTGGTTAGACCGTACTTGGAGTACTGTGAGCAGATCTGGATACCACACCTTTGGAAGGATGTATCAGCCTTTTGAGGAGTACAGCATGGTTAGCAAGAATGATACTTGGACTTCGGTGTAAAGTTATAAAGAGAGTTTATACAAATTAGGCCTGTATCTCTAGAGTTTAGAAGGGGTGGTCTCATCAAAGTCTTCCAGAAATTAACAGGAAAAGACAGGGGAGATAAAATAAACTATTTCACTGGATTGAACAAGGAGGCATAATCTAAAATTTAGGACCAGACTGTTCAGTAGAGATGTTAGGAAGTACTGCTACACATGCAGGATGTTGGGTATCTGAAATTCTCTTCCGCAAATAGCAGTTGATGCTAGATCAGTTGGTAATTTTAAATCAGAGATAGAAAAATATTTGTTAAGCAAAGGTATTGAGGAATGTGGGCTAAAGGCAAGTATATGGAATTAGTTCACAGATCAGTTATGATCTTATTGAACGGCAGAACAGGCTTCAGGGGCTGAATGGCCTATTCCTGATCCTATGTTAAGGTTTCTAGTCTGAAAACATGAACTCCATGCTCTCTGTCATTCTTGTCTTTCCTAGGTCAGTTCCAGCTGCTAAAGGACTGCCAATGCCTACTCTAACCACAGTGCACTTCTTTAAGAGGTTTAGGCTTGCTTTAAGCCATGCAGGCTACTTTTTAACTGTTGCCAATGACTCATTATTTTGGCTCCTTGCTCAGTTTGTCAGCCAATCAATGGCATGGTTGGCAGTGACTTTATGCCGAAAGCATTTTAAATGGCATGCAGCACGAAGTTTGTATGTTGCATGTGGTGCAGTTAGTGAACACTCCTTAGTCAGTCGTGCCTGTTGTCAGGGATATCTAATTTAGCCCTAAATGAATGATCATAAATCAACAAGTCTACACATTACTTTGTAAAATGCCAAGTTATTTTAGTTTAAATTCTTCATATTTACTTAATTGGTTCCCCAACTACTATCTCTGCTCCATCATTTGGATGTTCTGAGTTAATCATATTCTTGATTTGTATCTGTGCCATTTGTTGATTGATTGTTGGCAGAGATTTGAGAACAAACCTAGTTCTGATATCTTTTCATGTTCATTGAAAGAGATGGAAGTTTTCATTCTCCATATTCTGTGAAGTTATGGACTGCTGTCATAACTCACCAAATGAGGGAGGTTGAGTTTGACATATTAAAGCCTGTGATGAAATAAAATAAAGAACTGCAGATGCTGGAAATAAGAAATATTAAAAGAAATTGGTGGAGAAACTCAATAGGTCTGGCAGCATCTCTGGAGGGAGAAACAGAATTAGCATTTCAAGTCCAGTATGACTCTTCTTCAGAACCCTGTTTAGCATCTGCAGTATTTTCTTTTGATCTGATGGAGTAGAGTGCAAGATCAGAGCACTTCATTGTCTTGCCCGCTGCTATCTTCATGGGAAGTTATAGGTAAAACTTGTTCAATAATATGTACCTGACGTTGAATATGAATTATTCTTATTCAGTGCAGTACGCATCTGAAATACTGTTCCTCACAGAAACTAGAGTAGGAGCATTAGTCTGAGCAGACACTGGATTGAAATGGCCTATGCTGGGAAGCCATCTCGCCTTCCTGTAAGCAGCAGTTTGTCTTCCTCTAAGTCACTCATGTCCATACCATCTGTTGTGTTGTTTTCCAAAGTGACATGCAAACTATTTTACTCATGTCTGGGACCAAGTGTTTTGTGCAAAAACCTTGAAGTCAGGAACAGTCTGCCTTTAGCACCCTGTTTAGCACTCCCTTCATGTTAGCAACGCCAAATAAACAGGACAGACCATCAAACATTTCTACAAACTCATCAACATCAAGTAGAAATCAATAGCAACTATCCTGAAAATTCTTGATTTTTAATTAATGCAAAGGTATAGGGTGGAGTTGAGATCCTTCCCGCTCCATAACCTATGTTCAGCTGTGTGAGGTTGAGAGAGGGCATTAGCTAAACCCTGAGTTCCAAAATGGCAAAGTTGACATACCCTTCTACAGGGTCGCTGGACTTGAAATGTTAACTCTGATTTCCAAACACAGATACTGCCAGACCTGCTGTTTCTCCAGCAATTTCTGTTTTTGTTTCAAATCTTCAGCATCCACACCTCTTTGTTTTATTGCCAGACAGCTGATTTGACATTACAATCTGCCAATTCTGCATTCTTCTGGCATATGTGGAACTGTTCAACATAGTGTCCAATGTGACCTGCACCGGAATTGTGAAGATTCTACAGTCACCATTCTGGAAATAATATTCCTATTATGTAGAGAAGTAGGTACTGCATAACAGAATTTTGTGGTCCTATAAGATGCTGATACAAGTATGCTGGGCTGTTGGTTTAATACCTTATTTTCAGCTGATAGAGATAAGAGTTTTATAAACACATAGCAAGAGTTCCTGCATTCAGTCCATAAGCTCAATTACTGTTAGATTGGGCCAGCAGATGCCCTCCAGCATTGTACTAGACTTTGCAAGCTAGGTAAAGGATATCTAATCAATACAGGGAACAACACTGTAGTGGCATACTCTGTACATCCACCTGCTGAATATTGTCAGAAATTCTGGCACTTGCCCAGCATTGCAGATTTGGACGCATTATACAGACTCCTTCAACACAAACCATGTTTCTTTGTCAGTAGGGGGTAAGGGGAACAATCTTGAAAACTAGAAAAATAACTTTTTCAGTGAAAGTGCAGTGAAGGAAGGGGAAGAAAAATAGATCAGCTACCAGCAACAGTTACTTATGTACTAAATGTTAGCTCTGAACTTCCATTTGTTTGTTATTTATGTATTAGGACTGAACTGTTCAGTGCGGTACAATTATTTATAACTAACAGTCACGAAAGATTGTTTAGCCAACAAAGATGCTGTAGCACAATTGTAACTAAATGATATCTGGAAATGTTCAAAGCATCATGGTTGACTTCTGCTATTGCAGAATGCTGAAACTGTTTCATTCTGTTTATAAGTTCAAGTTGTTGTGTAACCATGGTGCGTGTTATCAAATTTGTTTTGTTTATTTAGTTCCTACCAGAACATCCTGCTCACTTGTGGAGTCAACTTGCTTTTCAATTGTATGTAAATCACAAACTATACATGCTTCCTTTCACATGTTAATCAAAATCTGTTATCAATTGTTTTATTGATAGAGTGAAATATTAGTAGAATTTTAATAAGGTATCTTTGTTTCTTGTCTTTGGTACAGCAGAAGATATTTTTCTGTCAACATTAGCTTTTATCATTTATGATTAAAACATTAACATGGAGAATGTTATAAAAGTAATTTTAACATGCTTTTAATAGAACCATGAAAGCTCAAATTCTTTATTTGCTTTTAAATTAAACCACAATCATTTCATTTTTTTAATTCATTTGTGGGATGTGGGTGTCGCTGGCTAGCCAACATTTTTTGCCCATCCTCAGTTGCCTTTAGAAGGTGATGGTGAGCTGCTTTCTTGAACTGTTGCAGTCCACGTGCTACGTTGACACACAATACCTAAATAGGGAGGGAATTCCAGGTTTTTGACTGAGCAACAGTGAAGGAACACTGATATATTTCCAATTCAGTATGGCTTAGAGAGTAACTTGCAGGTGGTAGTATTTCCATGTATCTGCTGCCCTTGTCATTCTAGATGGAAGTGTTCACATGTTTGGAAGGTCTTTGGTGAATTTCTACAGTGCGTCTTGTACGCAGTACACACTGCTGCTACTAAACGATGGTGGTGGAGGGAGTGGATGCTTTTGGATGTAGTGCCAATGAAGTGGGTTGCTATATTCTGGATGGTGTCAAGCTTTTTGAGTGTTGTTGGAGCTGCACTCATCCAGGCAAGTGGGGAGTATTCCATCACACTCCTGACTTGTAGACTTTGGGGAGTCAGGAGGTGAGTTACTAGCTGCAGTATTCCTAGCCTCTGACCTCCTCTTGTAGCCACAGTGTTTATATGGTGAGTCCAGTTGGGTTTCTGGTCAATGGTAATCCCCATGATGTTGATAGTGGGGTATTCAGTGATGGTAATACGATTGAATGTCAACAGATGGTGGTTAGGTTGTCTCTTATTGGAGATGATCATTGCCGGGCTTTTTTGTGGCATTTGCAATGTGTCAGCCCAAGCGTGGATATTGTCCAGATTTTGTTGCATTTGAACATGAACTGCTTCAATGTTTGAGGTGTTGTGAACGGTACCGAACATTGTGCAATCATTGACAAACTTCCCCACTTCTAACCTTATGATGGACAGAAGATCATTGCTAAAGCAGCTGAAGATGATTAAGCCTAGAACATTACCCTGAGAAACTCTTGCAGTGATGTCCTGGAGCTGAGGTGACTGACCTCAAACAACCACAACCATCTTCCTATATGCCAAGTATGACTCCAACAAGCAGAAGTTTGCCCCCGATACAAATTGATTCCAGTTTTGCTAGGGCTCCTTGACATTACATTCAGCCAATATGGCCTTGATGTCAAAGGCTGTCATTCTCATCTCACCTCTGGAATTCAGCTGTTTTACCCATGTTTGAACCAAGGCTGTAATGAGATCAGGAGCTGAGTGGCCGGCCGGACCCAGACTGGGTGTCACTGAGCAGATTATTGCTGAGCAGGTGCTGCTTGATAGCATTGTTGATGACACCTTCCATCACCTTGCTGATGATTGAGAGTAGGCTGAATGGGCGACAATTGGCGGGGTTAAATTTGTCCTGCTTTTCGTGTGCAGAACATACCCAGGCAATTTTCCACATTGTTGGATACATGCCAGTATTGTAGCTGTATTGGAAGAGCTTGGCTAGGGGAGTGGCAATTTCTAGAGTACAAGTTGCCTTTGCACTATCCATTGCCTCCAACTGTTTCTTGATATCACGTACAGTGAATCAAATCATCTAAAGACTTAACAAAAAGACGAAAGAACTGAGGATGCTGGAAATCAGAACCAAAACAGAAATTGCTGGAAAATCACAGCAGGTCTGGCAGCATCTGTGGAGAGAAATCAGAGTTAACGTTTTGGGTCCAATGATCCTTCTTCAGAACTTCAGCGTTCTGGCATGCTGTTCTGCATTATCCATTGAACCAATGGTAGAGTGGGGGATATGCCAGGCCATGAGTTTACAGATTGTGCTGGAATACAGTTCTGCAGCAGTTGATGGTCCACAGCACCTCATGGATGCCCAGTTTTGAGTTGCCAGATCTGTTCAAAGTCTGACCCATTTAGCACGATGTTAGTGTTACGCAACACAATGGAAGGTATTCTTCATGTGAAACAATGTGAAAGCAGGACTTTGTCTCCACAAAGACTGTGATTTGGTCACTTCTTCTGTTCATGGCTGATGATCTGCAACTGGAAGATTGATAAGAATAGGGTCAAGTATGCTTTGCCCTCTAGTTGGTTTCCTCACCACCTGCCATGGAACCAGTCTAGCAGCTATGTCCTTTTGGACATGACCAGCTTGATCGGTAGTGCTGCTGTCGAGCGACTCTTGATAGTGAACTCTGAATATAATCATCCTTAATGGACTCTGGAATCTTACCAACAACCAAAGTCAGGCTAACTAGCCTATAATTTCCTTTCTTCTGCCTCCCTCCTTTCTTAAACCGGGGACACTTCCCCAACTCCAGTGATTCCTGAAAGATCACCGCCGATCTCCTCAGCTATCTCCTTGAGAACATTGGTGTGTTATCCAACTGGTCCAGATGATTTGTTCACCTGCAATTACCAGACCTGTAAGCTTCCCCAACACCTTCCCCCTAATGATGACCACTAACCCACTTCTGCCCCTAACTCTCTTGAAGTTCTGGCATGCTACTGGTGTCTTCCACAGTGTACATTGATGCAAAGTAACCTATTCAATTCCTCCATCATTTTTTTGTTCCACCTTGCCTCTTGCTACCTGCTTACTATTTGCATGCTGGTAGAAGGTGTTAGAGTTTCCATTTATGTTAACTGCCATTCCGTTCTCACCTACTCTTTGCCAGGTTTATTTTACTCTTTACTTCACATCTCAATTTATCATGTTTGGCATGGTTCTCATTGAAAAGTTTTCCTGATGTGTATCACACACCTTTTGGGTTTCATCATATTTTCTATTTCCCTTGTCATCAAAGGAGACCTGGTTTGGTTCCCCTACATTTTGTCTTTGTTGAATGTCTCTAAGCTGTACCTGAAAGCTCTCTGTATACATCACCCATTATTTCATTAATATTTTACCTGTCACTCAGATGATTAAAGTTAGGCTTTTTCCAATTTAGATATATTCAAATTAGATTGTTTCTTGCTCATCTCCATCAGTAATCTAAACCTTACAGCATGGTGATCAATCTTACACAATCACTGTCTCACAGACACTTGGTACACTTGAACAATGTCATTCTCCACCGCCATATCTAGCAATATTTCTTTCTCATTGAATAAAGAACACACTAGATTGGTAAAGTTCTCTTGAATCTATTTCACAAATTCTTCCCCCCTCCTTACCCTTCAACACAAGCCTAATTGACATTTGGGTAATTAAAGTCTCCATTATCACTGCTCTATAGTTCTTGCACATCTCTGTGATTTTCCCTGCTGATTTACTCCTCTATTACCTCTTTCTTCCATTTTGAGAAACCTATGACACTTCTTGACCAAAGAGTGGTGAGCATGTGGAAGTAACTACCACAGGGAGTGATTAAAGCAAATAACATAGTAGCATTTATCTGCAAGCTAGATAAGGGAGTAGATGGTTACGATGATATGTTTACATGAAGAGAGACAGGAGGAATTGCAAACAGAACATAAACCCTAGCATAGATTGATTGGACTGAATAGCCTGTTGCTGTAAGCTGCATCCTATGTTATCCTGTGTAAGTTCATTGCTGGCATTGGGTAGGTGGTGTATTATGAGGGTCTGCTTTGAATCTGTCTTTTATTTTATCATACATCTATGAAGCACCTTGGAATTCAATAAAGTCACTTGACAATGCAAGATGTTGTCCTAGAAGAATACAAGTGTTTAGAACACCATCACACTATTTAAAAAAACCCTAAATAATTTAACAAGAATGTTTTAATTTTATAGATAAGGATCAGCAGAAAAGGGAGAGGCTAAATAAAGCAGTGAAAAAACATCAGAAGGAAATTCTGCACTATCGTTCAACAGCTCAAATGAACTACAGCTCTGTTTCCCTGGCAACAAGCAGAGTAAGTAGATTCTATTGTGGCTATCAAAAGGGAATTGGATCATTGTTTGATTTGCAGGCCTGTGGAGAATAAGCAGGAGAATAGGGTGAGCTGTTTAGTTCAAATAGAAAGCCAGGATGGACACAACAGGCCTTCTGTGTTGTTACCATTCTATGATTCTAAAATGTGATAAATAAACCAGGTTTCTAACAGTTGTTAAGAAGGTTCATGTAATTGGAATATGCACATTATGGATATTGTGCATGTCCTTAGAAACTGATGCTATTGCTTACTGGTACAAATGACCACGTGGAAGCCATTAGTGAGCCCTAGTTGGATGTTGTAAAATGCAACAGTGAAATTAATTCAGACATTAGTGTTTTTCTGATGTTGTTGTTCAGTCTGCGAGAAAAATATAGTGCTGCCCCAAGCAATTGTTCGCTGGATCCATGTGTGGACAGCAAGTTGACTGACATTGCACACGATACAAAGAAAGAAGATACAGGCATAATGATTGAAGCAGGAGGTGATCTTTTCTGAAACTGGAAATCCCGTCTCTATGACAGAGGCTAGCTACATCAGAAGTTTGTTGGATATTCTCTAGGAGAGCATTCATAATCCCTTCTATTAAAAGTCTCATACAACTCAAATTTTAAATATATCCATGATATTGAAAGCATCCACGTTTTTGATCCCCTCAGATTACCCAAGAGGCAATAAAAATACATGTTTCCACTGTTCATTTGTAGAAATCTGTTGGTCCAGCCAACTAAAAGACATTAATCAAATTCTATTTACTTCCATCTTACTCCATCACACTGAGAACTCCATTGTCTCCACCACCTCAGTGTTGGCAAAGTAAAATCATTATAGTGCCTCCACAGTGACACAATATGGATTATCAACTTTTAACTTACATTATTCAATTTTAATAACTGAGACCTTCATTGACTAAAATAACTTTTAAAAGGAGGAAAACATTGTCTTAAAATGGTCACGGAAATCATCTGACTACAAATTGAGGCATGTTCAGGAAACTGATATGAAATAAGCAAAGTTGTCTGAACTGAAATTATTACCGTGTCTAAAGACAATGAAAGCAGTCAACTAATTTAGGCATCAAGAAACTGCATCTCCTATTTCACTTTGCATCATAAACAAGTTGGACGTAAAAAATTGCCTGCAATACTCCAGCTCAAAAGACAATAAAAGACTCAGGAATACACAAAGGAATCATATTTCAGTAGCTGCTGGGCAGAGCATCGGACAGAGAGAAAGAAAAAATGATGAGTAACAAGAAAAACAGGAAGAGTGTCTGTCTTTGTCTCCCTCTTTTTTCTCACCTCTTTGCAAAAAGGGAGCCAGCACTGGTGATAAAATAAATTGGAGAAACACTCATTCACCAAGAACTGAAGGATACTACAAATGTTGCTACTGATAAGGATATAAAACATCAACAATTCTGACAACACATTTATATTTCCTTTTGTACTAGACAACTCCCCATCCCACGACCCCCCTTCTAAAACTTTAGGACTTTGTGTGTGTATTTGGTGTACGTTTAGTTATTTTTCTTGGAATTAGTAGGTAATAAATTCCGCTTTCTTTCACTTAAGAAAATCTTGTGATTGGCTCCTTAATTTTGACGAACATTACATTTTAATTGAAGTGTGATGTAGAAAGAGAATTTAAAATCTTTTTCTCACCTAGGGGGATTAAAAAGAGGGGAGCTGATTCATCCCTCCTCACTGATGATAATAGTCTTTAACAAAAATTTTTGAATCAATACTACAGATGTTTCTTGAATTAATGAACTATTCATATTTGTATATCTATATTTAAAGAAAGAATCAGTTCATTTAGATAACAACTTCCTCAAACCCAAAGAATCTCAAAGTGTTTAACAGCCCATTAAATACTTTTGATATGTCTTCTCTGTGGTAATAGAGGTAAATGCAGGAAACAAGGTGTGCACAGAAAAGTGTCACAAACAGTGATGTAGTAATGATAAGTAAATGATGTTTAATTTGGCTGAGAACAGAATGTGATGTTGGGTCGCAGAGATGATAAACTTGCACCAATCCATTGTGTTGCAAGCAGTACAGTAAGCACACTCTGCCTGTGGTTTTAAATTACTTCTTTGCACAACCAACCTTACTAAGCCCTGAATTAGAAATAATCATCAGCATTTGGCAGATACTGTGATTGGTTAGTGGTACAGAATGATTGCCTGTGTTGTGACTGCACGCGAGGTGGGTTTCATTCAAAAACTATTTCCATGCCCTAGTACTTTGAGCAATGGCTAAGTATGTGATAGAGTATGCATCAAGGATTTCAGACACTGCAATGGACTTCAACTTCACATAGAAGATTGTACCAGCTGTAACGCAAGGTTCATCTACTGCTTCAATTCATTAGATACCAATCACACGTCTACCAGCAATCTCTAACAATCAGAACTCTAACGTTTATATGCTTTACCTCTTAGACATATACACACACACATATAGCAGTGTCACAAACCTCATGTCAACACTCACAGTTAGTACACATGAATAGCTGTTCAACCATGAAGTTACATCACCCAAAGATTTTGCAGGATGCACATTTGCACAATGTCCTCTTTCTCACAGAAGATGATGCTTAAAGCATGATGCAACAAAGAGCTGTAGGAAACCCATCATGTCTCCATGTTTTAATATGTTTCAACACCAATATTGAAGCGTTCTGACCATCTTGGGAAGGGGTATTGCTAAGGCTATTTCCATTGGCAGAGCTGAAGCCATTAATAATGAGGGTATCTGCATAATTAATCTTCTCGCAGTATACTTTTTTATCATCCAATAATCTCTTTGGTTCACAAGTTATAGATTGTGTAAGCCTGCACTTCTTACTTCCTCCCATCCCCTCTTTATTACCAAACTCCTGCCCCATTTCCTTTCAAATAACTAAGAGTTGGAGGCTCATGTTCATTGGTGGAAAAGAAAGAGACAATGAAGATTAACAACTGAACAATTACAGCCACCAGGTCAGATCAAGGTGGGACCTTTACATGGTGAGATAATGGACATAAGTGTGCAGGAGCCAGGATGAGGATTAAGAATAGTGCAAGTCCTGCTTGCTGGAAGGCAAATACACACATTGGGTCTGCTGTAGAGGACTCAACTGAGCACTTCTGTGTACTGGACTACAGAAGAAGGCTGATAGTTGTACATAGTCAAATACCATGGGGCACTAGAAAGTCAGCCCTCAGCATCAAGCAGCATAGTCAAGTCCAACACAAATTTGGCACAAAGCTCCGCGCAGAGCTTGGAACCCAACCTTTTCAGCATAGAAGCGGTGGCTAACTCCATCAACATTTGCCAAGTCCACTGTGATACTATGTCTGATGGCTGTGCTACAGCTTCCACCGCAGTGTAAACAGCATTTATCAAATGTCAGCTTACTACATTTGAAGCTTATGCTGCTATCATCATGATCCGAATACAGTTCTACAGAAGAGTTGCTCAGGACATCAGAGTAATCTTTCCCTCGATTCTCCAAAACAAAAACATTAAGATTGCTGGAACTGCCATGTGAGAATAGTGGCAGCTCCTTGGATCACAAACATATTGTCCTCTCTTTCAGGATTAAGGCTTTAGGGCTCCCATCCCTTCTGCGCTGCCAATAGCCTTGTTGTTACCTTTCAGCCAGCCAGTGAGATACTACAGTCCATGCTGAAATTATGCAGTCTGAAACCAGCTCAAAAGCTTCTAAGCTGAAAGCTATGCCAACCCATCCAGCCAGGTCCATCAGCAGTTTCTTCAATTGGAGATTGGTAGTCTTCCATCTGCAACTGAAAAGGCACGATGTAGCTGTATTAGCAGAGTCAAAAGCTGCTAGAAGATAGCCAACAAGGGAAGGCAAAATGATGATTAATATAATTGTGTATGCATTTTGTTATGTTTGAGTTAATAAGTTTGATTTGGAATGTACATTTTCTGATGGTTTGATCTTTATGTGTTTTGAAAAGAGGACAATTTGAGAATCAATTATATTTTTATTCTTTGTTGTGATGTGGGCATCATTGGCAAGGCCAGCATTTGATGCCTATCCCTAATTGCCCTTGAACTAAGTGTCTTGCTAAACCATTTCATAGAGTGATTAAGAGTACAAAACATTACTGTTGGTATGGAGTTACGCTTAGGCTAGATCAGATAAGGGCACTAGATTTCCCTTCCGAAAGGATATTAGTGAACCAGATAGATCATTGCCACAAGGATGATACTTTGTTGAGTTGAAATAGCATTTTCCTTCCATTGTCCACCATAAGCGAGATGCCATGCTGCTCTTGTGAAACTTGAAGCCCAGTGTCCATCATTAGATCTTATTCCACAATTAGACGACATTCGCTGGTTAATCCTGAGTTTACAAAGAATTATACTAACAACTGGTTTAGGATTGGCTTCACAGTGTGGCACATTTTGTGTGTACTCAAAATTACATATCAATACACAGGGCCCTATTCTTCGCTGACAGAAAGGACATGATCATGCATTGTGTTTCAATGCAACAACATAATTGTCAGCCGTTCACTGGTTCATTTGACAGAGCAATAGTTTGACTAATGAGAGTCATCATGCCTTGTGTAAAATTTAATCAAAACCTGGCCATTAACTGTCAATCATCAGTCAGCACTTTCTTATCATACGGTATACCTGTTGACCAACCTATTAAATTAATTTTCTACTGAATTGTCCTGGTGAGTGCAAGACAAAAATCTTCGACAAAATAGATTTTTTTTAGCAATATTCACATTCGGTATTATGGAATAACTAATATAAAATTAGTTCAACTTGGTTAACTCACCTAGTTAAAAATCTCAACTTTACCCCTTAAATGTATGTGGTTCAAATGCATGTTCAACAGAGATGTACTATAAGGTAATACCTAGGACACTGAGTTAATGAATCAAAGTTTATTGCATATAATCAAACCAGACAATATATTCATCTAAGAGACAAGGACTATTTAAATAACAA